GCAAACAAAAAACATACTCTTATAATATATGCATTGTCCTTGAAACTGATTGGTCCACACCAGAGACAGCTTCTTTTGAGCCTCGTCTCAAATGGTCTAACATGATTCCTTGTAAAAAGTTTCATCCATTATTTTCGTCTCCCCCTCCTCTTTTCCGAACATAGATGGACTCGTCCATCTGAATAACTGACAAATCGCCCTCCGTGGTGCTAACGTTAAAAAAACCGCCACTTTTTTCAAATTTTCTAGCTGTAGTTTTCACATCTGATGATGATTGCTTGTGTTGCAGTCGAAACGTCGTGAGAATTTTATTGTTTTATATTTTTCTTATTTTATTGTTTCCCTTCTACGTGACTTTACCGAAAGAACCAAGAATATATCTCAACACTTGTTTTATTGCCCGAAAAAATGGGAAAACCTATTCTCATATTTTGGTACTAGCAAAGGAGGTCCCATGATACATAAAGCGATTAAATCAGCTCGTGTGCAGGACCACGAGAGATGATAACGACTTCATCCAGCAGTGGATTGGTCATTCGAGGGTCTCGTGTTACCGTCTCATTCCGTTCGTTGGTTTTGTTTCTTGTCTTGTTTATACAGCTACGTTCGTGTAATATATATAATTATCAGACTTGTAAATGCCACCCCTGGAAATGTGTGCACGCGCCGCCATATCTCACTGTCTGGCACACAGTCTGCCCCAAATGGGACATCTCGGCGGATGATGCACATGTGATGCAGATGCCGTCCATCAGAGCTGTCTTTAGGTCGATCTGCGCTAGCGGCCCGGGCCGGTCTCTGACTTTAAAGGGTTAAGTCCGTGGACTTAGAGGCGACAGTCCGAGCAGCGTGCGTGAGTTGTACCTGTCAGCAAACGCTCTTGGGGAACTAAACTTTGTATTTTACCAGGTAAGGCCCAATGAGCTATATAGTTATTTTTTTCAGAAGCGACCTGGCTATCACAAAGTGGCTCATCACGTGGACATTATTAGCAGCCAAAAAGAGTGTTTCTAAATGCGGAGGGAGACACCGGAGGACCCAGAGAAAAAATCCACGCGACCACGGGGAGAGAGAGAGACATGCAAACTCCAAATAAACAGCAGGCGTCGGGGTCGGGATCGAAGCGACGACCTCCTGTATACCAGGCGAGGTAGTTAACATCTCCTAGCCACCGCGTCACCCATCACGCCCGGTGATTGTCGAGCGTATCATGTTGGTAAACATGTATAGATGATTAGCATGGTGAATTTAAACATTCTGCACTACGGCTTTGGGTCGAGAGCAGGGGTAGGCGACCTGCTGCCCCGCAGCCACACGCGGCTCTTCAAGGACCGCTTCTTGACGTTGTCTATTAAGGACTCGCAGTCTCGTATTCATTACATGGCACTGCGGCTCTTGAAATATAGAGGGGATTTTTTTACCGAATTCTAACAAAAAAATGGCTCTTCTTGTTGTTTTGGTCACGGACCTCTGATGGAGAGACTAGCGCCTGCAGTCCACAGTCCACACAGTCTACAGGCCATGGTCCACACATTCACCAGCCAGTCGACATCCTACACTCATTGGTGATGCACCGAGTCAACAGTGGCCATGCGCGTGTTTAATTTCAATCACACACGGATACGTGCACACGCAAAGAAAAATACCCCCGTATAGCCTCAATAGACCGTTCGGGCAAGTGCTGTCAGCGAGCACCTGTAACAGTCTGCACGGCACACGAGGTGGGTGGGTAGCCAACAACCACGCCCGGCCACCTTTGTCTCCCCAATGCTGATGTTTACACACACACCGGATACTCGTGTAAATAATCGTCGCTGGTGTTGGCCGTGAGCGGGAGTCGAACTCGGGTGCGCCGGCTACGTAGCTCAGCTGTGCACTAACCGCTCCGTTGCCGCTCTCACCGTGCGGAGCGCGACCGTGCTCATCGGAGGTGCGGGGGTTGGGGAAAGAACAACAAACTAAACACGACAATCGTCTTCCTGAAAAACAGCGACATAACCTCGTAGATCTTACCCCGTAACACAAAATATACAGGCATGGATCTTGATTTGAAGCGTTCGTGACAGCAGGAATCCATACTCTTTGGTTCTTTCGGTAAAGTCACGTAGGTAGAAAAATAAAATGAAACACCAAAATAATAAATCACGACGTTTCGATCGCAACACAAGCGGTCGTCCTCAGGCGGACAAAATACTGCTGAACCAGCTTCGCTGCTTCAGCAGTTCCACTGCTGAATTATTTTTTGCGCCTGCCGCTTGTGTTGCAATCGAAACGTCGTGGTATATTATTTTGTGTTTTATGTTATTTTTCCACCCACGTGACTTGACCGAAAGAACCAAAGAGTATAAGCATGGATGTTGAACTTCTTTCGTGCCGCACCTAGCCCAACAGTGCTAATGGGAGTTGCGGACGACGCTGCCACGATGCGAAAGGGGCCCCCTTCCCTCCAGCCCCTACCCCAACACGCACACGATACACACCCCCAGAGACCCCCCCCCCCCCCCCCATGGCCTCGCCAAGTGAAACTCGCCGCTGGCGGAGGATGAGGAGGTAGGAGGAGGAGCAGGGAAGATGATCGAGAGGCCACGCCGGCCAACAGCGTGGGCTGGCGTTCTCGTGAAAGCCATCGTCACGCACGCGTGCACAGAGGCGTTACGGGGTAGGGGGGCCGCCTCTGGGAGGACCTCCCACCCAGCCCATCCCACCCCCGTACTCCGACCGCACCTCCGATTAGCCCCCCCCCCTCTGCCTCCCCCTCTTTCTATTTAAGGCCTCAACACGGAGGCGTTGTCTTTCTGTGTGCCTATGTGTGTGTCTCTCTCTGTCTCTGTGTGAGTATCTCTCTGCTTGTGTGTCTGTCTATGTGTGAGGAGCTGTAGTGTAGCGGTTCGCACGCTGCGCTACGAACCTGGTGTCCCCGGTTCGATTCCCGATCACGGCCAACATTAGTGACGATTATCTGAACCCGTCCTGGGCCTCCTCTAGGTCGACTCAGCCTCAAATGAGTACCTGGTGCGATGTGTAAACATTGCCACTAGGGAGACAAAGGCGGCCGGCCGTGGTGTTGGCCACCCACCCCCTCGTGTGCCGTGCCGGCCTTTATAGGTGCTCGCTAACAGCACTTGCCCCTACAGTCTGTTAACGCTATACGGGGGATCTTTATCTCCGTGTCTATGTTTTGTCTCTCTCTCAAATTTATCAATCTTTGGAAGAACGTGATCAACCAGATGGGGTGTTGTCTGTTTTGTTGGCCGACTCTCTGTGTTGTGTTGCATTATATTTCCAAGTTGCATACGTTTGTTTTCTCATTCATTTGTACCTGATGATGGTTGCTTGTGTTGCAATCGAAACTTTGTATTCTATTATTATTTGATTTGATTTATTTCTACGTGACTTTACCGAAAGAATGAAAGAGTAATTATATGCTGTGTGTGTGTATATATACGGTGTGGATATATGCACCCATAGGAGAAGCGTGATTGTAACGCAGGAAAGGCGATTTATATTCAGAATCAGAATCTTTATTCATACTGGGGGGAATCCGATGAACTGTAAAGCTCCTTTTCACAGATGTCCTGTAGGGGCACGGGGTCAGAAAGTTACAACAACAAAGAATAAACAAAAACAGGACAGGGGTGCAAACTATAGGAAATATAAAGAAAGACATCAGACAATGAAGACGAGGTGAAGCCCATTGAGCTATCAGCTCCCTTTTCAGAAAAATGGCCACAAATTATAGCGCAACGAAGTGGCTTGTCACGTGGCAATTTATAGATGCCGAATAATGGAGACGTGTTGCAAACAAACACAACTCATATTTAAACGATACACATACAGGCACTCGCAAACCAATGATTTCCCCCGTTTAGGGTTGCTGAATGGACTGTCGGAGTCTCTTACTCAGGCGGGTATGGTGCACGAGGCGGCGATGTTGTCAGAACCGCGCCCGACCGCCTTTGTCTTCCCGTATTGGAATTGACACACTGCCCTAGGTTCTCGGTGAACGCGTATTGCGTAGACCCAGGCAGGATTACCGCCTGCCAAGCGATGTGCATCACAGTCTGGAATCGAACCACGGTTTGTCGAGGTTATGGCGCAATAGCACACGCGTATACAGGCATACACACACGTTCAACACAACAAAGACAAAGATCCCCCGTATAGCCTTAACAGACTGTAGGGGCAAGTGCTGTTAGCGGTACACGAGGCGGTGGGTGGCCAGCACCACGCCAGACCGCCTTTGTCTCCCCAGTGGCGATGTTTACGCGTCGCACCAGGTACTCATTCGAGGCTGAGTCGACCTAGGGGAGGCCCGGGACAGTTTCAGATAATCGTCATTGGTGTTGGCCGTGAGCGGGAATCGAACCCAGGTCGCCGGGTTCGTAGCACAGCGCGCTAACCGCTACACTACCTACTGAACATCACACACACACACACAGTCAGGCACACAAAGAAATCAACACACGAAACACATACTCGGCACACAGAGACAAATATGTCCCCGTATAGCCTTAGTGGATTTGGGGCAAGTGCTGTTAGCGAGGACCTATAAAGATCGATAATGATGCTGCTGCTGATGATGATGGTGATGACTTTAAGATAGGTTTTTGGGTTAGATCGCGTAAATACGAATGTGTCTTAAAACCCGCCACCACCCGACATAGCCAATGAGTAAGGTTTGTTAAACAAACAAAACATTCAAATTGGTTACTAGCACAGCACACCGGCGTGTTGAAGAGTAAACCCGCAACGTTTGCAAGTCGAGGACCGTGACGTTTCGCCGGTAATTTCAACCAGCGTCATCAGGCGAAGGCCAGGATAATGGAGAAATCCTCCTGCTTCGGTCTTAAATCGAGGGGGTAAATGTAGTGTCGTCACTTGCGAGAGAATCAGGTGCGACGACCATGGAGGGGGGGGGGGGTGTTAATGTATAATATTGGTCGCCAAAGCCTGCGTAATGACGACCCCTCCTCCACCTTTCCCCGCACCGCTACGCACAGGCGGTGAGCGACTACATGCGTGTGGAGTGCAAGTGCCACGGCCTTTCGGGCTCGTGCGCCCTCCGCACGTGCTGGAAGAAGATGCCCCCGTTCCGGGAGGTGGGCGACCGCCTCAAGGATCGCTTCGACGGCGCCTTCAAGGTGATGGGCAGCAACGACGGCAAGACCCTGCTGCCGGTGGGCCACAACATCAAGCCGCCGGGCAGCCACGACCTCATCTACTCGGCCGAGTCGCCCGACTTCTGCTCGGCGAACCGCAAGACCGGCTCGCTGGGCACTCGCGGACGGACGTGCAACAGCACGGCGCTCGACATGAGCGGCTGCGACCTCCTGTGCTGCGGCAGAGGAGCTCGTCAGGAGACCCTCACCTTCCAGGAGAACTGCCAGTGCCGCTTCCAGTGGTGCTGCGTGGTGCACTGCAAGAAGTGCACGGTGCAGAGGGAGCTCAGCATCTGCCAGTGACGAACGCTGTTGATGATTGATGACCTAGGGGTTGATGACGGACGGTCGGTCGGCGATGATGATGGTTCTCATGGTGCAGAGCGCTAAGTGTTTGGCAGTGACGGTGGTGGTGTTGGTGATGACGAGGATCGAGATGATTGTTGCTGATAGTGGCAATGTGGATGATGGTTCGCACGGTGAAATAAGAGCTGAGCATCTGCCACTGATGATGATGATGATGGTGATGACGGCCGTGATGGTGACCATAATGAGCGTGGTGATCATCGTCATGATGATGACGGTGGTGGTGATTTGCACGATAGAGGAAGCTCAGCATCTCCCAGCGACTCCTCTGCTGCTGCTGCTGCTGCTGATGATGATGATGGTGATCGAGGCAGTGGTGGTGGTGGTAATGATGGCGATATATTTTTTTACGCATGCACGGTCGACGTGTCCACACACGCACACAAAGACAAAGATCCCCCGTATAGCTTTAACAGACTGTAGGGGCAAGTGCTGTTAGCGAGCACCTACGAAGGCCAGAACGGCACACGAGGTGGTGGGTGGCCAGCACCACGCCCGACCGCCTTTGTCTCCCCAGTGGCGATGTTTACACACCGCACCGGGTACTCATTTGAGGCTGAGTCGACCTAGCGGAGGCCCCGGACCGGTTCAGATAATCGTCACTGGTGTTGGCCGAGGGCGGGAATCGAACCCGGGTCGCCAGGTTTATAGTGCAGCGCGCTAACCGCTTGCACACACACGAACACAAACGCGCACGCACACGCGCACGCACACACACGATGAACGACGATGGTCCTTCGAATGGATCGTTTTCCGCTATTCCTTTCGTCGTGGTCCCGTGTTCTTCCGTTCGTCTTGCGAATGATCGGGCCAACCCCGCTGGGCCTCGGAACGCCTCCCTCGCAGAAGAAGGGGAACGTATTCAAGAACCGCGAAGAGCACCTCCGCCACCACCACCGCTATCGACACGATCGTCGTGGAGCAGTTATTCTTACTGAGATGTTTTCTTTCGACTAAAGTATATATACATGGTATATATATAGAAGCACACACAAGTGTGGTGCCTTCTTCACAGACGCTGTGACACCAACAAAGCCCGACGGACTTTGAGAAAGAAGAAAAAAAGAACGCTGACCGGCACGCGCGCGTGTGTGTGTGTCTGTCTGTGTGTGTGTCTGTGTGTGTGTCTGTGTGTGTGTTTGTCTTTTTGTGTCTGTGTGTGTGTCTGTGTGTGTGTTTGTCTTTTTGTGTCTGTGTGTGTGTCTGTGTGTGTGTCTGTGTGTGTGTCTGTGTGTGTGTCTGTGTGTATGTATGTGTCTGTGTGTGTCTGTGTGTGTGTCTGTGTGTGTCTGTGTGTATCTGTGTGTGTGTGTCTGTGTGTGTCTCTGTGTGTGTGTCTGTGTGTGTGTCTGTGTGTGTGTCTGTGTGTGTGTGTCTGTGTGTGTGTCTGTGTGTGTGTGTCTGTATGTGTGTCTGTGTGTCTCTGTGCCTTCAACGTCCATCGAGTGCCTTTAGCAGCCTGCCTCAGTGCCTACCGGCGTGCCTGTGCGTCAGCGAACGAGCGTGAAACCCGCTTTATCGTTAAGTGTTATTTGTATCATTATTGATTATTGTTATTTTCGAACTGTCGTCGTGTGCTGCGTGCAAAGCGTTAGGCGCAAGCGCACGTATTACGCGCGCGCGCACACGCACATGCCTTTGCACACTTGCCTACGTGGCACGCTTTATGTGATGGTGATGATGTTGATGATGACACAGAGCACGCTCTGTAGATGAGTGCGGGTGATGGAGCAGCGAACGTTCACGTTCTCCACTCCAGACCTCGTGGCGTGCGTCCTTCTCCGGACAGATTAGCAGAGCCCCCCCTCCCTCTCCCCTCCCCCCCCCCCATATTTCCATTCATTGGTTGAATGTGAAATTTGCAGTCGCGAGGAATGGCAGCGGCTGCCGCGAGCGCGTGTTTCTGGATTCGCGTTCACCGTTGTGTGTTCCCGAGCACACTGAACGCGAGAGACAGCCCTGTGCCTTACACAACCTGCTCTTTCTTTCCCACCCTCGAATCCTCCTCTCCCTTCATGAACGCACTCATTCAGTTCAGTTATGGACAAGTCTATCGCCATCATCCATCCGTCATCAACTACACTCCCTCTCATTCTGTCAATCTTACCTACATTTCTACCCATCCCTCCATCTCTGCTTAGCATCATCATCATCATCATCGGCATCGTTCGATCCCTCTCTGCGTCCCCGCCGCCACCATACCCAAACCGTCTTGAATCATCCTCGCTCTCTCCTTCTCTCCCTCCACCCCTTTCAGTCTTCATCGGAAAATCATTCCCAGCCTAAATCATATCCCCGCATTTACTCCCGCGCACCTGGCTCTAAACTCTCTCCTCCTCGCTCCACATCCCCGACCCTAACCACCCTGCCCCCCCGTAAGTCTCCGTGCGTAGCTCGCGTTTCAATAGACAGGACGAATGTATACTACTGACTTAAAGATCACGAACGCACGTTTTGTAGCAACGAGGACACACAGCGACAAATGACACAGTATGTATATGCATCTTGCTTCCGTGCTGCCCGCTGTTGTTCTTCCTCCGTGACATTTGCAGCGGCCCGGATTTGTCCCGGAAAGGGCGTCCTCTCCTTGCGTGGGGTTGACGCGCTTGTGCCGCACAGCTCTCGAATGCGTTTTCGGAATGTGACCGCGATGTCCGACGTTTCGCTCCAGCACGCTGGGTGGGGTGCTTCTTCTGGAACCGAATATGAGGTTGTGCTAGAGAGAGAAAGAGCTGAGCCGCCCAGTAAACAGAATCAGAATCTTTATATTCTTGGTTCTTTCGGTAAAGTCACGTAAATAGAAAATTAAAGTAATAACGTAGTTAATAAAATAAAAGCAAAAAACCCACGACGTTTCGATCGCAATACAAGCGGTCTTCAAAACAGAATCAGAATCTGTATGACGACTGGAGGAATCCGATGAGCGATGAAGCTCTTTTTCACAGATGTCCAGTAAATACCAGCGGCAACAGCAGCAGTAGCGGCGGCGGCCGGGCAACGTTGTCGAATTGAGGCAGAGAGTGAGCTGCTCAGTTCAGCTCCTGAAGGAAACTCCCAACGCGAGCGCAGCGAAACGTCGGGCGTTACGCCGAACAACGCCACGGTACAACCGTAAAGAAAGAAAGAGAGAAAAACAACATGTCGCATATTGTCTTCTTGTATATTTTAACTTAAGGAACAAAAAAAAACCAGATGATCTCGCCTGAGTTTGTCCATGCGGTTCGTGCGGTTTTGTTGTTGTTGTTGTCGCGTGAATTTGTTTTAGAGCCAAGTGCCAGCGTCCCGTGTAAGCGTCACCGTGTCTGCCGTCGAAACAAAATCCGCGAGAATAGAAGGAGAAGAAGCAGCGACAACAACAAAAGCCGAAAGAAGATGCCTCGAGATGAGTGTGGTTGATGGAAGAGAGAAGAGGGGAGACAGCTCGAGAGACGTATTTATTGTTAACACGTGTGCCTGTCCGATATTCTGCTGCTGCTGCTGTTTGTTGTTGTTGTTGTTTAAAAATGCGCATTAACTGACACGTACATTGTGACACGTCCATTCGGCTACGGTGGAAGACTGGCGGGGGTGAGGGCCTTGGTGAAGCGAATGACCTCACACCCAGCGGACAACCCTGTCGTGAAAAAAAACACCTTCATTCCTTTGTTGGTCATTTAAAAGTAATGTCTGAAATGGTCTCCGATTCACCAATGCGCACCGACCAGCGTGACGAAGTACGGCCAAAGAATAAACAACCCCCATGATCGACGCGGCATGGGGGATCGCTTCACTTAGCAGTGAATTCGTGTCGTTATACTCCAGTCAACCACCCATTCCAGACACCCACCCCCGCAATGGAACATTCCAAAATAACGAGTGCCCACGTCCACAACACCCAACCTCGTGGATTTTAGAATGTTCCATTTGGTGCAGGGGGCCGGGTGTCAGGCTGGGAGCTTTCCAATATTTGGGTTTTTAGAGCCAGATGTATCAGACGTACTTGCCTCCGTGCTATTCAGAACAAATGAGCGCGCCCTGCATTTTCTAAGGAGCTCGATGTAGCCACCACTGAGTGATGGTGACGATGATACTGATTATTATGATGATGATGATGACACCTAAACCTGTCACCTTCGATTTAAACTTCTGGAAGATGCCTCATATTTATATGTGCAGTACAGTATTATAGTTGCATGGGTAACGTATCGCCCGCTATTACTAACCGTACGTTGCTACTATACAGAGTGTATATATAGGAGATTAACTTAAGTCCACCGACATGCAGTCTTGGAATAAACTCATTTTGTTCGAGGAGGCGACAATGTTCGAGGATTTATTTGTCAGAGGCGTGAGCACTGGACCGAGAGATTGTCGCTTCGCACCAAAGAGGCCAAGAACTCCACTCACACATCCCCGCAACAACGATATGGAACAACATCAGAGCCTCATACGCACCACATGCACGCCCACAGGCGCGTCACAGACCACAGCCAGCTTGACACGCAGTCGGCTTTAGCGACCAATATTATTCCACAACTGAGGTTTTTTTTTTTTGGGGGGGGGTTAGATCGCGTAAGGGGCCGTCCATAAATGACGTCACGCACCTAGGGGGGGAGGTGTCACACATTTGTGACGATGTGTGATGAGGGGGGGTGGGTGTTTGAGAAATGTGACGTCACATCAAAACTTTAAAAAAATACGGACAACACGTTCTACTTAATTAAATAGACTTTTTAATAAATATTTTCTCCTACAACATTAGAGTACAGCGGCACGTAAAATACGCACTACAATGATTTGAAGCATGTTTTATATATTTGTTTTGGGGGGGGGGGGCAGAGCTTTGTGACATCATACTTGAGGGTGGGGGGGGTCTGACTTTTTGTGACGCCGTGTGACGAAGGGTGGGGGGGGGTCAAAAATCGTCCAAAATCGCGTGACGTCATTTATGGACGGCCCCATAACATGAATTCGTCGTTAAACCCGCCGGCGCCCAACAGAGCCAATTAGTACGGTGTGTCAAGGAAAGAAGACGAGCCGGTTTGGTTACTGGTTCAGCACACCGGCGTGTTGGAGAGTAACAGCACCGCATGTACAATTCAAGCACGACGGTGATTGGCTGGCGATTACAACCAGCTTCATCAGGCGATAACCATAATTGTAACACAAAAGTCACCCTGTTTCGATCTAAAACCACATCCATGCCACAAGCACAAAGATCAACCCCCCCCCATAGCCTTAACATAATCTTGGCGAAACTACTGTTAGCGAGCGCCTATGAATGGAAAGACAGCATAAGAGGGGGTGGGTGGCTACTACCACGCCCGTCCGTTTTTGTCTCCCCGCTGCTAATGTTTACACATCGCACCGGGTAATCATTTGAGGCTGAGTCGACCTAGGGGAGGCC